CATTCTCTCTAATAATGTCTGACTCTCAGATTGGGGGAGAGGACACTTCTTTCCAAATTGGTCCTGTTTGGGACAGCCCTTCTCTTGTTAATTTCCTATTTCTAGTTAATAATTCTTTATTGTAAGTACTCCCTGTTCAAATAATTGGTGTGTTTCAAAATTTCTAACTGAATACTGACTGATAAATTGTAGGATGTGATTTCAGGATTAACTTTTTCATGCCCCTGAAATTGATGGCAGTGCTGAGCAACTTGCCAGTGGGATATGTGATGTTCTTCTTCTGTGGAATGCGGGGGCACTGGTGATAAGGCCATCCCTTGTGATTGGTTGTGATGAAGTGCAACGAGCAAGGATATTGAGAATCCAAGAATCTGTTACATTTGACCAATGATGACTGGAAGGATGGTGGTGTTTCAGTCTGTTCAGACTATAGTACCTTATAAACAATAGACATTTGCTTCTCATCATTCTCAAAGAAGTAGTATATTTGTTGTCTTGTAAGGAGAGCCTACTAGAAGGTCATCTTCTAGAAAGACATTTCCTCTTGTACAGGAAGGGGCCATGAACTGGTTACATTAATGAGGATTCTACCCATATAACCTAAGCCCCTCTGAGAGGCTTTGCCTTCAGATGCCCTTACTTTGGGAACTTGGTTTCAACATGTGAATTTTGAGAGGGGACAAACATTTAGTCTATAGCAGGTGATACAGCATTGTCTCCTCATCGTTAGGAAAATCTTTTCCACACCCAGATTACAAAGTAATTACCTAAAGTATTTGTCCAATATTTTTATAGTTCCATTTAAATTTATGCTTCTGGTACATTTGGACTTGACTATTACATTTGTCTCTTTTGTTGGGTGGGGAGAGAAATAGATACATCTTTATCTTTTTTCAAATGGAATTCAGTCACTCATCATTTATTTGAAAGTCCATATTTTCCCAAGTGATCTCAGATGTTCTACAGTTATTCCCAGATGTACATGGGTCTGTTTCTGGATTTATCATTCTCTTTTACTCTGTCCATTTGTCAGTCCCACAGTGTTGTTATTAGACTTTATAGATTGTTTTAATATTTCATCTGACTAGTCCTGTCTAATTGCTTTTATTTTTCAGGATTTTCCTTCAAATTGTACATTTATTTTTTCATATAAATATTAGAATTAGCTTTCATAACTCTAGGGGAAAAGAACTTTTGATTTAATTAGAATCACATTATACTTACATAATAATTAGGCAAATTGACATCCTTATTGTATTGAATTGTCCTACTTGAGAACAAATTATATTTTTCCATTTATTCAAGCCATTTTTAAAAATTTAAAGCAGTATTTCATAGTTTTCTTAATATAGTTTTGGTACAGTTCCTGTTAAATATTTAATTTTTTTTTTGTTTCTGTATTAAATGACATTATGTCACTTAAATACAAAATACTGTTTGTATTTTTTGTATATATGTTTACCTTACAGAACTTGCTAGTTATGGTTTTGTGCTGATTATCTGTCTCCTAGGTGTGGTATGATAGAATAAATACAAAAATGTATAATTGGGGCCTCCCTGGTGGCACAGTGGTTGATCGCTGGGCTGCGAAGCTGCCCGCAGTCTCTGCAGCACCAGTTGGATCCCCTGCCACTGGTGAGGATCCCACATGGCGCGACAGACCTCTCCTGCTGTGCCTGCTGCTCCCCTCAGCAGTGTATTTTGTCAGTCTGCCTGTTCTGTTCCCCGCTCTGGCTCTGGTGAATTCTCTCACCCACCCGTGCTTCAGACTGTACCCACTGCTTGTATAAATAAATAAATTAAAAAAAAGTGTAATTGATTTTCAGTGCTTATATATACAGATCTTACTAGTCTATATCTCCAAATGCTATGCTAACTAGTAATGTCTTTGTCCTAATGTATTTGTTTCTATTGCTTCTTCTTTATATATGATACTGCTTTTTGGATTGAGGTATAAAATATTTCATCATTTAAGGATATAGTCATAATTTTAATGAAATTAGGAATGAGTGTAAAATTTGCCAAAGTTTGTGTTACATTTTATTATGTAAAATTATGTAAAATCATAATACGTAAATTTTATTATGTAAAAGCATTTTATTACATGCTCTCACGACTTTTTTTTTATTAAAGATTTATTTATTTATTTATTTATACAAGCTCTGGGTACAGTCGGAAGTATGGGTGGGTGAGAGAATTTACCAGAGCCAGAGCAGGGAACAGAACAGGCAGACAGACGAAATACACTGCTGTGGGGAGCAGCGGGCACAGCAGGAGAGGTCTGCTGCGCCAAGTGGGACCCTCGCTGGCAGCCAGGGATCGAACCGGCGCAGCAGAGGCTGTGGGCGGCTTCGAAGGCCAGTGCTCGACTGCTGCACCACCAGGGGAAGCCCTCAAGTCTTTCTTAATTCCACTTTTGCTATCATGATTCAGTGTGAGTAGAATGTACTTCATCCACACGTTGATATTGGGTTTGGCAATTTGATTTTCTTTGAACAATGGAATTTGATCAAAAGGGTAATGTGTCGGTCCTGAGCCCAGAGTATCATGTGCTTCTGCTCATCCCGCTTATATTTTTGCCTCTGGCATCAGAAAGACATGCCTAGGTTTTTTGTGATCCCAGATTGAGGAACATACAGAACAGATTTGAATCTGTCTATCCTGCACATTTGCAAACCCACAAACTAGAGAGAGAGAAGAGAAATATTTGATATTGTAAACTATTGAGATATTGGGGGTGTTATTCATTTTTGTAGCAATAGCTGACTAATACAAAGTACTTTTTAACATTTATAGATCTAATCATATGACATCTGTCTGCTTAGACCTAGATATATGGTGAATTATTGGAATGGATCCACAAATATGAAGCATTGCCTTATAATAAATCTTCCTAGATTATGATACATACTTTAAATTTGATTTGAGTTTCATGTGTTGGCATTTTACTTAGGATTTTCCCATTGTAAGTCATGAGTGAGGTTAATAGTTTGATGTGTGTGCATATGTGTGTGTGTGTGTTATCTTCATCAAGTTTGAGCATCAAAGTTATACTTGTTTCATAAAAATCACTGGAGGGGGCCTCCCCAGTGGCGCAGCGGTTGAGCGCTGGCTTGCGAAGCTGCCCGTGGCCTCTGCAGCGCTGGTTTGATCCCCAGCTGCTCCCTGGCCACCGGAGGAGGGTCCCACATGGCGCGCAGACCTCTCCTGCCGCCCGCTGCTCCCCTCAGCAGTGTACTTCGCTCCTTCTGCCTGCTCTGCTCCCCGCTCTGGTTCTGGTGAATTCTCTCACCCTCCTGTGCTTCTGACTGTACACAGTGCTTGTATAAATAAATAAAAAATAAATCTTAAAAAAAAAAAAATCATTGGAGGGCCTCCCTGGTGGTGCAGGCAGTTGAGTGCCGCACTGTGAAGCTGTCTGCAGCCTCTGCAGCGCAGGTTCGATCCCAGCTGGATGGCGAGAATCCCACATGGCGAAGCAGACGGCTCCTGTTTTGTTCGCTGCTCCCCTCAGCAGTGTATTTCAGTCAGTCTGCCTGTTCTGTTCCCTGCTCTGTCTCTGGTGGTGAATCCTCTCACCCTCCCATGCATCTGGCCTGTACCCCGGTTCTTATATAAATTAATAAATCTTTAAAAAGAATCATTGGAGAATTTTTCTTCTCTGTTCCAATTTAAACAGTATTGGGATTATACGGTATTTGAAGATTTGATAGGATTTACCTATGAAATCATTTGGGTCCAGATTTTATACTTAGTTCTTTAATAACGTTTTTCTTTTTCCTCCCGAGAAGTTTGTCTATTTATGCTTTCTATGTACAGCAAGGTGAATTTTGTTAAACTGTATTTTCCTAGAAATTAATCCAATTCATCTAGGTCTTCTGCTTTGATTGTATTTAGTTGTGCAAAGTAGTTACATATCATTCTTTAAATTTTCTGTTTCACTGGTTGTTTACTTGTTTTTATTTTTTATTTGTGCTTTCTACCTTCTTTTATTGATAGCTAAAGAAGTCTATTATGCTACATTTTTACAGAGAATCAGAATTTTAAATATTTCTTCCAATTTTCTGCTTGCTACCTCATTTCTTTTGCTTTATCTTTTCCTTCTTCATGCTTTATTTTTTCTTAATGTGTTACTTTTCTTCTAATTTTAAAAATGGGAACCTAAGTTGTTTATTTTCATTCTTTATTTTTTGTTGTAAGAATTTAAGGCTGGGTTTTCTGTGATCACAGATTTAACTATCCCCTATTGTTTTTGTGTTCTTATTAAATTTCCTTTCTTAGGAAATCTTCTTTTTAAAAAATTACATCTTTTGTTCCAAGAGTTGTTCAACAGAGAATCTTTAAGTCTCCAAATGGAATTTCTATGTTAAAAAGAACAGAGCAAGACATGGAAATAAATATACTTGCTCTATTTCAGGCTTCCAGAAATTATAGCTTTTAGTAAAATTGAAAATTTTAATTATTATCTAAAACTGCATTTTAAAACTTTCAATACATCAACAAAGAATAAAAATAAAAGCATTCAACGCCAAACATATTTGTTCTCCATCCATCCATCCATCCATCCATCCATCCATCCATCCATCCATTCATCTAATAGCTATGACATCTATCTACATTTTCATCCCAGGGCAAGAAAGCATTGTTTACTAAGGAAATTAATAGAAAGTGATCAGAAATGAAAAAGTTGATTTGTAATTTGCATCCAGGCATACATTAGCTTTTATATAAACTTTGCTGAAATTAGTTTCTCTGATTGGAAGTGGTCTATAGAACACTGCATGGTGGAAAACTTCTGGCTGAAAATCACTGCCCATATGACCCTGTTTCCTTGACAAGGAAATTCAGCTCAGCCAGAAACTGTATAGCTGATATAGTGGGCTTAGCTTGCTTTCTATTATGTCCCATATATATTCATTAACATGATTGTATTTTATAAATTGTTGGTTAACTGTGGGAAATCAAACAAGAAAAGCAACTAATACCACCAAACTCTCAGTAGATTTAAGATGTTAGATTTATTTGCAGAAACAAAGTATGATCACAACAAAATATACACTAATTTAAAAAAGTGACATAAACTTTTAAGTGACATAAAATCTTATAAGTTTGTAAAACTATTTGTGTCTACATGAATTTCTATTCATAGAAGAACAGCAAACAAAATGCAGTGATAGTTTGCATTTGTTATCTAGAAAGAACACAGACCAAACCTGGAGATTTTGGTTGACTAGGGTGTTACTTTTGGTTTACAAAGCCATACAAGTGAACTCATCATCAAAAATATCATCTACTTTTAGATCCACATACATAGACATTTACTGCTAATCTGAGAAATAAGTACTTCATAGTCTCTCCCACCCCACTATAATGCATTTTTAATTTTAACTAAAAGCATAGTAAGGAATTGTATTTTTATTTTTTTAATTGACCTCAGAAGATGTACTATCTAATTCATGAGAAATGCGAAATTTTAGGTGTTGATCTTCTTCTACACTCTTAGGGTCTAGGTCTAGCTTTTCTTCATGGCCCTGGAATTCTTGACTGTGGGAACTATGACTGTCTTCTGGAATTTTCTGACTGTTGATCACATTGGAATGATCACTGCTCTCATCATCTGCTTTCAGCTTATGTTCCTTGGAATGCTCAAAGCCATTGTTTTCCAGACTACTATCTCTTTTTTCAAAGCTGTCTCCCCCACGGCTATCCAAATCAGAAGTTGACTGCAGGTTTAGGGCAACCAGGGTCGCCTTGGGAGCATCACCCATCTCTCTGCTTTCCATTTGTGAAGCGAGGTCCTCCTTTGTGGCATCAGGATACTGAGTAACAGCACAAGTGGAAAAAGAATTAAATGAGCAGTCAGGGATGGAAATGGTTTTAATTCTTTTCTGCTCTCTAACTTTTAGGCCAGTTTGCATTTAAAATCATCTAAATTTTGCTGAAGTAAAAAATAACACTTGTATGCTACTTTCTATTTCACCAAGCCCTTTTATATAGGTCATCTTCTTTAGTTCAATAGGTACATCAGTGACGCATGTGATGAAACCTATGAAGTGTGTCTATCATCTCTTTTTACATAAAGAGAAAGTGAATTGAATGATGAAAAGTAAAGTGAATAGTAAATGGCAAGGTTATGTGTTAAATTTAGATCCTTTGAGTATTGATTCAGTGGCATTTGCAGCTCTACAACTGCTTTTAGATATTTAATTTCAAAATGCGATCTTTATATTATGAAAATAATCACTTTTCTGAAGTTATTTGAATCTACAAAAAGTGAATAGATCAAATGTTTTATAGGCAGGATTTAGAAAAACAGCATTGTGATTGAGAGAGAAAAATAGGGAGAGGTTACATCGACTTAAATATAAAACCACCATGCAGAAGAAGGTCTTAAATTGACTGGTCATAAGGTAATAATGCTTGCTGAGTGAATGAATGAATGAATGAATGAATGATACCTAGACTCTGGTTTCCTAAAACTGGGTTCTAATCATAACCACCTGCTGTATCTATTAGAGGACTTACCTGGTCTTCAGCACTGTAGAACTTTATAGATTTTGATTTCAGCCCATAAGCCACGCTGTCACCTCGGCCATCATATATGCCTCTGGTGAGGACAACTGGAGTGTAATCTATGGTTGCTGGAAGGTCAGTGGGAGAATCAGTGACCATTTCATCAGATTCATCAGAATGCTGGGACTCATCGGAGTCATGACTTTGATCGTCGTCATCCGAGTCGGTGGAGTCCCGGCTCTCCGCATGGTCTCCGTCATCGACATCGTCCACATCGTCCACGTCATTGCTTTCATTGGACACACTTGGAAGACTCTAAAACCAGCATGATTGGAAATATTAGTTTAAGAGTTTTTTGATTTCTTTGAACCTTTACAGTATAGACAGCTTTTACCATCTTTTACCTATTTCTTTTCAAATCTCCGCATTCACAACAATGTACTCGTTGACTTTTGGGACCTTAAAGTGAACATTTTCTAATTTCTCTTTTAACACAAGAGATTCATAATCTAAGGGTTTTCCTTGTTTTACTACAAAAATATTTTCAAGCCAAATATGTGAAATATAATATTCATATTGATAGTTTTTCTTTGTTTATATTAGGCATTATTTAACTAACTTCAATGATGCAATACATGCAGATGCGTAACTGTGAGATTTTTTTTTTTTTTACTTGAAATGAAAATTCTCGGGAGACCAAAGCTCCATATGTTGATGCGCGCACCAATACCTAAAACCACTCTCCTATCATGGATAATATAAAGGCGACTCTATTATATTTGTGTATAAACTGCAACTCAAATCCTTCCATTGGCCAGTTAATGTTTATTCATTAAACTTCTAATTAACAAATACACTGAGTCTATTATATAACTCTACTTATTAGAGATTCTTGGCATATTCAGACAGAATCTTAAGGAATGCAAATTTTATTAATCTCCTGCTTAGCAAAAAATAATAACAGTCCTAGCAAAAAGACTAGTTATCAAATAAACCATTATGTTCTTAGAAACAAAGTTTTGATTTTGGTATTCATTAATTAGATACTTAGCAGATACTTGGTAAGGCATCTATAAGATACTTTGAATAATTGCAAGAGGCTTAATATTTCAAATAACAGACATTGGTAAATATTTTCTGCCACCTTAAACTTCTCTGCAGAATCCTGGTATTTCTGACATTTTGTGAATAAATGTTTTCTTTCTGAGCAATATTTCAATGGGAAATTTACTGGAAAACTTTCTCATGGATTTTTGTCAGTATTGAACCCCTGCAATGTCATTAGGAGAAAGAATGACTTTTTCCATTTCTCTAAGTCATGGTGAGTCTCTGATTCAAAATAAAACTTCTTGTTTGAAGTTGTCGTTTTTTTTTTTTTTTTAGTGAACACAGTATTATGAAGAAAGGACACATAAGTGTACATTATACATGTTCGATTTTTTAGTGAAAGTTAACCTTTTCCATTCAAATCAGCTCTGACTTTTTAGCTTATTGATTGATGATTGGTGGAAAGAAGCCAACATGGCAGACAATTTGTATCCTAAACTCTCATTTACCAAAAGTCAGGGAGTATATATGTAACCAGACTGAATGGCTTACTTGGTGGTTATTTATTGTTATTGCTCTTTAACTGAGAGAAATTTATTTTTTAATTAATTAAAACTGATGTCCTAGGAGAACTTGCTTTGAAGTAGGTCAGTCTTTGGTCATTGCGACCACAGCATCTGGGTATTTGTTGTTAAGTATCTTTGTTAGCATTAAAAAAAAAAAAGATATACGGGACCTCTGAGATCAACTAAAAAAACCTATATTTGAGTAATATTTATGGATAAGCATAATATACATGTGTATAGTCAATTAGAGTCAAAGATACCCCTTTTATAACATTTTTCTTGCATATTCATTTGATAAACTCTTACATAACACTTACTGTGGGCCAAGCACACTTTCAAAGTGGTTTACAATATTAACACTTTCAATCTTATCCACCTTGATGAAATAACTAATATTATTATTCCCATTTTACACATCAGCTGAAACTAAATTGCAATGAATTTGTTAGTAAATGGTAGGGCCAGGGTTCAAATCCAGGTAACTGATCTTAACACTGTACTTTTCTGTTCTGTGTTTGCTAGCTGAAATAAAAAGGCACAACTCTCAGAAAAAGCAAATTCAAAGCAGAGGTGCCTTTAATCAGTGTTGTTAATTTTTTCCTTTCTCTGTGGAACAAGGTGAAACTCTCTATGTGCTGTGATATCCTCTAGCCACAAAACACGTGGCCATTTAAATTTCAGTTAATTAAAATAAAATAAAATAAAATAAAATAAATCAGCTCCTCATTTGCACTAGCTCTAGCAGTATAGTGTTCGATAACCGCTGTGTTTAGTGGTTAGCATAGTGGACAGTGCAGAAATGTAATATTAAAATGATGGCACTTTAAGTTCTATGGCTAAGGCGCCAAAGATATGAGTGAAATGGCCTTTCCTTTAGGCAAGTGACTTCTCTGGAAAATGATTTTAATATGCAAATGTGTGGAAATTACTCTGAATCAGTGTCATCTGATGGACTGTAGGGTCAGATCTGACGAGTTCATATCCCTGTCATTGAGAACTAGAGTTTTCTCCACAGGAAAGGGAAGGGGCTAGTCAATAGCACTTTGGGTTTCCCCAGGGCTGGCTCTAAGCACATAGTAGGTATAGTAGGCTTCTTTGAAAGTTCTTGATGAAAGATAAGATTCCTTGCCTAAAAAAGATGTGAAAACTGTTGGTCCAGATCAGTCTAATGTTTCCCTCTTTATTTTCTTTACAAATATGAATATATTTGATATAAAATATATTAATATATTTGATAATAAATATATTCAATATGATATAAAATATATATTAAATAAAATATATAACATCTGCAGAAATATTATATGTAAGTTGGTATTATATATATTTCCTACTTATAGATATAAAACACACTCAGGGAGAATATATTTCTAAGTAAATTTATAATTAAAAATGTAACTTAAAATATAAACAAAATAAACAAACTAAAACATACTCAGTAATCATAACACTCACAGACAGCCAGTGTCCTTTTTCAAGGGTGTCTAGACTTTCCCCTATTTCCTACTAGCTCTAAATACTAGAATGTTGAGCTTCTCATCTATCTCCTAAATATAATTGAATTACTTACCCTGCCTTGATTTCATGTGCCATATCTATTCTACTAAAAAGGCACTAATTTTTGCCACACATAGTGTGACGTCTATCTCTCTATAAATGCTACTTTTTCTAGCTCGTTATTGTGATTTGCATTACATAAATCACCCCCACATGCACACCCAAATGCAGGCAGCAATAATTCTCTTAATGCCTTCATTAAACAAGCTAAATGAATTGAACTCTGTATGCCTTTTTGTCCAAGCTCCTCAGGACAATGCTCATTTGTTATACAACTGGCACAATTTCACCTATTGTGGAGGGCAGGTGTTTATGGTGTGGGTCAAATAATATAAAGAGTTTGATTTGGTCTTATGTTTGGCTGAAAAAATGTGATCTAAAGTCAGCTGACAAGCACGATAGATCTAAATAGCATAAATTGCTTTCTTTTTACAATGAGTTTCTTTGCAAACATCTTAGGGGATATTGTGAATATTACAGTCATAGGAACTATCCAATATGTGAGTTGAATTTTAAACTCAACTTTCCAGTAAGCAAAGCAAAGAATGGAATTTTCTACTTCAAGAGAAGACTGTATTGACTCCTGGAAACAGAAAGTCACTTAACTTCATAGAACTCACTTAACATGACAATGGACAAGAGCATTATCTTGTTACATAAAAATATCTCATTTAAAGAGCATATATTTAAAAAAACAATATTGTGCTTCGTACTGGCTAGATTCATAACAAGCAGCCAACTTATAAAATAACAGTCAACTATGAAAATGAGCACAGATTGCACAAATATGTTTGTAGTGCACCTTATAGCAGTTATATAAGTAATCGAACTGCATGAAAAACCTCAAAAATGCTTACCTGTTCTTTCTCAGAACTTCCAGAATCACTCTGCTTAACCTTTGAAACAGAAAGTTTGAGAAAAGGTTACAAGGTGAAGTGTTTCTAGCACATAGGAGCACTGAATTCATTTATTTTGATGAATTTCATTCAGCTATACTCACTGGAAGGGCAGAGATGATGCCTAAGAGGCAAAAGCAAATCACTGCAATTCTCATGGTAGTGATTTTTCCTGCAAAATATTTTGTAAGGAATATTGCAGGTTAAAACAATGATATCTTTTTATGCTACTACATTACAAAATAATCAGTCAAAATATATTTTCTGTAGATTATTCCACTTCTTAAAGAAACCTTTCTTTTTAATATTATGATCTTTTGAGTTATTATTTGTAATAACACCTCTATTCTCCACCTCTCACTTAAGCAAAGGAGAGAAGAATTTTACAAGTCTATATTTGTTCAACTTTAAAATTTGGAGTTCCACAGATGACACCATTACTACCTGATATCTGATACCCCCAGCTAGCTAAACCTAAAAACAAATAAATTTAACTGAAATAACAAGCAATGTGGGAGTACTGATTTTTCAGAGAAGGAAAACACAAGAGAAAGAGAAAATAAGACTTAAAGAAAATTTGCTTTCTCCTTTTCCAGCATGCATTTCAGATGTGGCTTTTAACATAAATTATTAAGGAGGTGATATTTAGATAAAAGGAAGCAATCTATAAAGTTAATTATTTAAGAAAGGTGTTCTAGAAATTTGAAACTGAAAACAGTCAATAGCTTTTCAATTTGTAATAAATCTATAAAGTGACATACAAATATTTTTAGTGAAATTTTTAATAGCTAAATATAGAAGTAAACTATTCATAAAGTATTTCCCCTTGAATATGAAATAAATCAAATCATTAAAAATAGAATTATCATTGACTTACATTAGCACTAGAGAAACTTCCTTTTAAATGTCTCCACAATCATCTATCCATTTAAAATGACATAAATATAATTATTCAAAAGGGGCATGAAACTTGACTTTTTTTTTCTAATTAGAAGAAGTAATTTCAATTCTTTGGAGGATTCAGAAAGTATTTGTAAGTCTTATATTAGACTGTCATTCCAAAAGCCTGGCATGGTCGTATTTCTTCCATAAGCCTGCAAGATATCTGGCATGCTTATTCAGAAAACTAGAACAACTTAAATCTGATTAACAGCATTATGGTTAAATCTTTTTTTTTTCTTTTTCTTACAGCTTAACCTCTCTGTGAAATGAAACTGAAATCACAGGACAACAATGGAGCAAACAGCAGACTTACCTTGGTCTGCAGCTGGCAGAGAAGAACCCAGTCTCAGATGATGCTGTACTCCTGGTCTCCTCTTCTTGCTGCTGACAAGCAGGACCTCCCAGAATTTAAATACTGCTCCAGACTTCTCCACCAACACAAGGAGGCGGAGGGATGTGTCATGAGGTTTCTTGCCACTGCCCAACCCACTTGCTCCCACAGTTCCCCCTCTGGTTTTGTGGTTAAAAAACAAACAAACACACTACTCTACAGTTAAAATATGACTTATGTACAATATCATTAACTAGCTTTTTATTTATGGATTAACATTCAGCATCATGGAAGGGCACCTAAAAGTTCCACACTAAAGAGGAAATGACTAGTTTTAAACAGTATATGATTTTTGAATAAGAAGAAAACGTTAATAGAAATCAGTTCCAACTAAAACGAAATAGAATGGACTTTTTGTTTTAGTTTAACAAAGAAGAAAACATAATACAAATCAGTTCTAACTAAAATTAAATAGAATGGACTTTTTGTTTTAGTTTAACAAACTAGGGTAAAAGATGCAACTACATTTGATTCACAATGACATTTATTTATTTATTTATTTATTTATTTATTTATTTATTTATTTATTATATCATTGTTCATTTTTAAACAATATTTGCTTCCCCTCCCCAGGTGCAGTCCCCCATAGAATTTCCTTCACCAATGCACCCGTGCACCATCACTACAATGACATCGCACACAATGACATTTATTTAAGAGCTAAGGGGCGATTGTCTAGCCAGACAGAGTTCAGAGATCCTCCCTGCTTCCTTTACTACTCAAAATCGCTTTTTTGATTTCAAGTAAGTAGCAGTTTGCCATTTAGACAAATGGTACCAGCAACAGTGGTGACTGTTCATGCCCGCTACATTGGATAAGTGACCTTACAAGGACACAGATTGTTGATGTGCTGTGTGAACTGTTCATCAGAGATGGAACTGATCATTTGCAACATAAAGTAGAATTGTAATCTCTGCTAGATGCTGCTGAAGTAAAGCCTTTCCTCACTGACAGCTGGTTACAGCCTGAGGGTGCTGCTGCTGAGGGAGCCAGCTTGTAGCTCAGTCTTTGGCACTTAGTAGCTGTGTGACCTTGGACAAATCACTCATCTAGCAGATGCACATACTTTCACCTAGTATGCAGAGTTTTTGAGAACTCCACGGTCTAAATTAGTTTGTGCAAAACTAGCAATGTTTGGCACAATTTTATGCATATTTTAAAAACTGCTTATGTGCATTAACTTATTAAAATTCTTAGGAGGAATGGGCAATAATGATTCACAATGTCTTTAAATGGAAAAGATAATTAGAATGAGACTAGATGTAAGATCTTTAAGCGGGGTACCTCAATAGGGCAATTTGCATATCTCTAAAGAAATGGATTAGAGTTCTGAATCACCTTTTATCCTAGATTTTCTCCCATAATATAACTTAGTTAATTAATAAAAACATTATAAAATTTGATATTAAAAATACCTTACTGGGAATTTAAAATGTGTTTGAATGAAAGAAAACTACAAATGAAGTTTGACTGTTAGAATAGAAATTACTGGGAGCAGATTTCTGAGTCCATTTCAAATATTTAACATTGTCTTGAGTAAGATTAAAGATAAATGACCCTATTTATTATTAGTTTTAAGATAACAACTCCTTTTTATCAAATGTTGATTCTAATACAAATATGGGTTAAATAATTTCTTACAGTTTTAGTAAGTAGTATGATCAATCTGTAGGTTTTAGGACATTTGGTAGAGGAATACATAAGTTTTAAATTGGATACATTCCAAATGTATTGATATTGATTTCTGGATTCTATGCACACATTTTAATAATTCATACGACAGCCATCTCTATAAAATAGAGAGCAGACAGGTCATATTGAAAAATGGACTTATTTCTGCTTTTCAAAACTGATTTTTCCTGTTTTAAACACATTACCCACATAACTTTGTCATCTTGTCAATTTAGTGGAGGGAAGTTCACAATTTCTAAAAACAACATGATTTCCACAGGATTCACTAGTTTACTCTGTGCCCACGCAAATGATTTAATATGAGTTTAGAGAGTTATAGGAATAGATTTTGCTGGAGCTCAGCCATTTTGGAATGAACCATACTACCCACAAAAGAAGTCTCCAGAATGGCTCCAAAGTGCCACACGATGGCAGCGTTTCTGAAAAAGATTTCAGCCCCACTCTGGTCCTATCAGTTTCTTACTGCAGGACAGAACATTCATGTATTTAATGACAGAAATATAAAACATACTTGTGACCCTCCGATGGAATGCCAGATGAGGAAATATTCCCAGCAATGACCCACTACATAACAACAAAGAACACAGAAGCCAATGGCACCAGAACATTCTTGTTTGGCTGTGTAGTTGCCTGCAGCAATCCCAGGTGAACCCCATTGTCTCCTTCCCGACTTCCCACACTCACTCAAAAGGTGACTGATCTGAGGTCTCAGTGTACAGGCTTGTGAATTCATAGTCGAAGAATGTGTCTGGGATGCATCAGAGATGAGAAAATAAGGGGCTTGTAATGGAGGCAGTTTTATAAGATATGAAATGGGCAGTGTTTTCTAATGTTTGAAGAAGCTGTTACTTTTTCTTTTTAATAATCAAACATGCTGCTGTGAATTGAGGCTGATAACGGGGGAATAAAGGTTTGGGTGGGAAAGTGGAGAGGAGGCTGTATGGTGTGAATAAAGGACTCTGGGTGCTTCAGTGGTGAGTGTGTGTGGTGATGTGTTCTGAGGAGGTGTGAATCCTATCCTCTTGTCGTATGCAGCCTTCTTAACCAATGTCACAGAAATTAAAACAAAAACCAAAATTAAACTGCTGCAACTTGTTTTTCCTAAGATGTCCCAAAATTAAATATTATATGATTTAAGTCAGAGAGACTAATTGATCTGTAGCATTTCCACACTGTTTCCATTCTTGACTAGGCTAATACTTGGTTGTTAATATCAAAAGGTTCAAGTGATCAAAGTCCTTGGAGGGGGTGGGAGGGAGGGATGAGGAGATAGAGGGGATTATGTGATTGTGTTGTGTAGGGGAGCTTTGGTGAGGTGGGAGTGAAGTAAGTGCATTGTGGAGGTGTCTACCTGTGCACCTGAAATGATATAGTTGTGTAAATAAAAGTTCAATTAATAAAATTTGATTTAAAAAGTAAATCTTGTATTTGGAAAGGAAACATTTTAGTCATTAAACTGTAAAATAAAAAGTGTCTTGAGATAGTAAAATATATACGCTCTTGGGCCTCCTTAGTGGCGCAGGAGGTTCAGTGCAGTGCTGTGAAGCTGTCCTCAGCCTCTGCAGCGTGGGTTCGATTCCCGACCGGCCAGGGAGAAACCCACATGGAGCAGCAGACCTCTCCTGTCTCGCCCCCTGCTCCCCTCAGCAGTGTTTTCGGTCTGTCTGCCTGTTCTGCTCCCTGTTCTGTCTCTGGTGAATTCTCTCACCCTCCCATGCCTCTGGTCTGTACCCCAGTTCTTGTATAAATAAATAAATCTTAAATAAAATGAAATATATACACTCTTAAAAGGTAACATATAAAGAACACATTATTCTTGAATGACATAAAAATTCTCAAATAATATGAAAATTTAACTGTCCAGATATTATAGCTTTAGTGGAATTTACAACTTCTAGCTTATTTGAAAATTTCTAATTGTGTTCTAGTTCTCATTCTATTCTATATATATCTTTTTTTCCCTGAGTGAAAGTTAAAGTAGATATCTGGGATCTTAGCATCATCATCAACCCATCATATAGGAGTTGGGAATTATTGCTAATCAGAAGCCTACCATAATATTCATCATTTGTAGTTTAGGGAAAAGAGACATTGTTTACCAGAGGGAAGGATATAACAGTGGCGGATAATATTATTTTTAAGTTAGGACATGAAATTTGATTAATTTAGAAATACAAAAAAAACCACAAACCCACAATTAAGCCTTTCATTCCATCGCTCAATAACTTAGATAAAATTCAGTTCCTGAAAAAGTGGTCTTGCTATTGATAAACATTAATTTTACTTAAAAGAAAAAAATTTAGTTTGGGCCTATAGATCTATTATAGAGAGAATAAGTAGTCAATAAGTTGTTAGTGATTAACCACTCAATTCTTCATCTGTGACAATTATTGCTGAGAATATGGTTTGTGCTATGAATACAATGTATGACACTAAGCCTGATTATATATGGATACATAATATCTGCAGTTCTCAAGAATAACAGTATTTCTTTATTAAAGTATAATCACTAACTCTGAGTCTGCTGTCTGAGGGGTCATGGCCTGGTCCTTGAGGGTCATCTCCTCCTTGTAAGATCTTGTCCCAGAGCTCCCTGACCTTGTCCCCCTGCTGTGCTCCTGCAGTGTCTTTAGCTCATCTCGTAGCTCCTGGACATTGGTCACCTCTTGTGCTGCCAAGGCACCTCCAGCACTGTCCTGGACTCTATTTGCAGAGCTGTGAGGGGACACTCAGCCCCCAGCCCTGCCTTCAAGCAGGCGCCATGTCCTTCCCCACCATGTGCGGAGTCCTTTCTACCTGTACCAGGGTCTTGGGAGTCACCCACAGAGGACACTGGCCACGGAGAACTCTCAGCCTGCCATCTCTCAGCCCCTCCCAAGTTCTTTGGAGGGCTCCATACCCACCTGTGTTGAATCATCCTGCTGACTACGCCATTGTATTGCCAGCAAGGCACAGAGCAGGTTTTCTATGATCTGGGCAGACAGGTAAAGGAGAGTCCTGGAGCCCTTGGTGGCTTTTCAGGCTTTTAATGATCTTTTTACACCATTTGTAGTTAGGCAACCAGGTACAGGGCAGCCAGGGAGATGAGAGGGGGTGGACAGGATGCTTGCTGGCCTCCTAGCCCCTGAGGAATCTTCATTGTTTCTGGGCCCTCTGGTGTTCTTTCATGGTCTCTTTGCTGGTCTCTACTGCACTCTGCCTGCCCCATCCTCTGTTGCTGCCCTTATATGCTCAGTTTCTGGGTAAGGTGTGCCCACTCATGCATGCCCATATCACACTCCAGGTGCCGCCATCAGGCACGCGTGTAAGACCACGGGTGTTGATCATCAGTTCTAATGG